TTAAAAGTTACACAACAGAGAGATGGAATTGAAAAGGGTGGAAATGAGAAGCTGGAATTAGAGATGTGGGAGAATCGGAGAAAAAGAGAAATATTTTAAGTTTAAACTGATACAATTCAAAAAGAGCTCAAAATGAAAGCGGTTCCAAAGGAGAAAATCCTAGTCATAGAATAAATTCCAGTCAGGAAATGTTTAAGATTGGAGGAAAAAATGTGGAAGCATTTCTTACATCATTTAAGAAAACAGCGAAACAGGTAAAGTGGCCAAAAGAAAACTGGACATTAAACACAGGAACAAAAACAGAAATTGCTGGAAAAGCTCAGCAGGTCTAGCAGCATCTGTGAAGAAAAAATCAGAGTTAACATTTCGGGTCCGGTGACTCTTCCTTAGAACTGATGGTGGCTGGGAAAAGGTCAGTTTATATGCAGAAAATAGGGAGGGAGATGGGGTAAACAATAGGATAGAGCCTAAAGAGAGAGAAGAGCAGTTGTTCAGGCAAAGAAGTTGCTAACGATCAGGCTGGGAGGGTGAATAGTTGTTAATGGGGACTGTTAGTGACTAACAACAGGGGGTGTGTAATGGCAGGCTATGTGGTAACAAGGCCTGGTGGGAATATGTGTCTGGTCCCCTCCCCTCCCCTTTCTTGTCCACCTTCTGCAGGGACCGTTCCCTCATTTTCCGCTTGGGGACCCTGCAGCACTCTGGACTCAATATTGAGTTCAATAATTTTAGGGCCTAAACTCTCCCATGTCCCAGCCCCTCATCCCACACACCAGGCTTTATTACCACATAGCCTGCCATTACACACTCCCTGTTGTTAGTCACTAACAGCCCTCATTAACAACTCTTCACCCTCCCAGTCTGATCGTTAGCAACTCCTTTGTCTGTCCAACTGTCTTTCTCTCTCTTTAGGTTCTATCCTATCGTTTACTCCCTACCCCACCCACCTCCCTATTTTCTGCATATAAACCAACATATTTCCAGCCACCATCAGTTCTGAGGAAGGGTCACTGGACCCAAAACGTTAACTCTGTTTTCTCCTTCACAGATGCTGCCAGACCTGCTGAGCTTTTCCAGCAACTTCTGTTTTTGTTCCTGATTTACAGCATCCGCAGTTCTTTTGGTTTTTATTTGAAAACTGGACCTTGCCTACACAGGGCAAGTTGACAGGTAAAGCACATTGTGCTTCACCGTGGGAGGGTTTTATAAAGATTATGACATTGCAAACATTAGCTTTACTTGGTATATATGAGTCAGTTGCTGAAGTACACGGGCAAAAGTTTTGAAATTTACAGAAGCAACCTAGGAAAACTTAATTTGAAAAGGTTAAGCAGAGTAATTCTGCCAAGTGGATGTAAGTATTAGGAATTGAAACCTGTACTGTCTCCCAATGACTCTCAGAAGTTCTCTTCACACACAGCCTAACTAGTTGCTAACCAGCAGGAGGTAAATACTCAGTGTAATCTGAACATGGCGTCAGCAATGTGTTCTTTACTAGTGGTCACTATTAAGAAAGGTTGTTAATTCTAACACTAGCAGCATACACTTTCTTTGATGAGCACTAGAAGGCAGTTTAATTGGCAATCATAGCAATACTGATCCTTGAAGATGCTGGTCCATACATTGCAACTCCTTTATCACATTAGTATTTTACGCTAAATACGACTAAACCAGCCTCTCCATTCAATGTCCCATTCGGCCACTTCAGAAACTGTTTGGCACTTAATGTTTCGGGGGAAATTACCCACATGGGGACACTGGATAGAAGAATTGCTTTGTCAGAGGTGCCATCCTGTGGATATAATGTTATACCAAAGTCCTAATCACCTATTCAGGTAACATAAACCTTTTTAAACAGAAACTAGAGATGCCACTACAGTATTGTGATCTATAAATCCAATTGGTCAAAAAGAACTGGATCCAATCTTTTCTGAAGAAGGGTCTGCGCCCAAAACGTCAGCTTTCCTGCTCCTCTGATGCTGCTTGGCCTGCTGTGTTCATCCAGCTCTGCACCTTGTTATCTCAGATTCTGCAGTTCCTACTATCTCAGATCCAATCTTTAGACACTTCATTTTTTTTAATTACAGAGTTACACATTACAAACAATCAACCAAAGTTCCAGACTGTATCTACTTGAAGTGGTACAAGTGAATCTCCAGTTAATGCCAGCTGCATGTAACACAACAATTAATGTGCATCTGACATCAGTGTTACAGACATAATTCCTTCCCCAATCAATGCGATGAAAGACTTATATAAATTGAATACCAGATTTTCCAACATTTACATGGGAGGTTAACCTTCAAAAATAATAGAGAAGAAATGCAAATTTGATTTTTCTTCTCATGTTACATGGGTGTCATTGGCTGGGCCAGCATTCATTGCCCATTCCTAATTGCCCTTGAGCAGCTGGGGGTGAGCTGCATTTTTGAACTGCTGCAGTCCATGTGCTGCAGGTAGACCCACAATGCCCTTGGGAAGGGAGTTCCAGGATTTTCACCCAGTGACACCAAAGGAACAGCAAGTCAGGATGGTGAGTGGCTTGAAGATGAACTTGCAGGTACTGGTGTTCCCATACATCTGCTGCCTTTGTCCTTCTCGATGGAAGTGGCTGTGGGTTTGAAAAATGCAGTCTGAGGATCTATATTGAATTTCTGCAAAGAATCTTGTAGATCGTACACACTGCAGCTACTAAGTGTCAGTGATGAAGGTCAGAAATGATGAAGATGGTGCCAATCAAGTGGTCTGTTTTGTCCTGGATGGCGTCAAGCTTCTTGAGTGTTGTTGGAGCTGCACCCGTCCAGGCAAGTGGGGAGTATTCCATCACACTCCTGACTTGTGCCTGGTAGATAGTGGACAGGCTTTGGGGATGCAGGAGGTGAGTTACTCATTGCAGTATTCCTAGCCTCTCACCTGCTCTTGTTGCTACTTTATTTACATGGCTAGTCCAGCTTAGTTTCTGGTCAGTGGTAACCTCCCCCCAGGATGTCAACAGTCGGGGGTTCAGTGATGGTAATGCCATTGAATGTCAAATGGCAGTGATTAGGTTCTCTCTTGTTGAAGATGGTCATTTCCTGGTACTTGTATGGCACGAATGTTAGTTGCCACTCGTCAATCCACACTTGGATGATCCCCAGGTCTTTCTGCATTTGGACACGCACTGCTTCAGTATCTGAGGAGTCACGAATGGTGCTGAACATTGTGCAATCATCGACGAACACCCCCACTTCTGACCTTATGATGGAGGGAAGATCATTGATGAAGCAGCTGAAGATGGTTGGGCTGAGGACATTACCCTGAGGAACTCTTGCAGAGATGTCCTGGAGCTGAGATGACTGACCAACAACAAACACGACCATCTTCCTATGTGACAGGTATGACTCTAACCTGCGGAGAGTTTGCCCCCTGATACCCACTGATTCCAGTTTCGCTAGGGCTCCTTGATGCCACACTCAATCAAATGCATCCTTGATGTTTGGGGCTGTCACTCTCACCTCACCTCTGGAATTCAGCTCTTTTGTCCATATTTGAACCAGGGCTCTAATGAGATCAGGAGCTGAGTGGCCCTGGTGGAACCCAAACTGAATATCAGTCAGCAATATATAGCTGTTTAAGTGCCACTTGACAGCACTTCAACAGTTTCCGTCAGTTTACTGATGGTCGAGAGTAGACTGATGGGCAGTAATTGGCTGGGTTGGATTTGTCCTGCTTTTTGTGTACAGGACATACCTGGGCAATTTCTCACATTGTCAGGTAGATGCCAGTGTTGTAACTGTACTGGAACAGCTTGGCTTGGGGTGCACCTCACATTTTATAAACTCAAGTTCTTCATTATTGTGTTAGGAGAGCATTGCTACAGAGTCACTCTGGGGTTGATGTGGGTGAACAGACACTTCACAAAGTGGTGGAGTAAAGTGGGGTTACTGGTGTTTAGAGTACACACAGGACAGCAGTGACCTAAGGATTGGTCTTGGTACTGACAGGGTTACATTTCATTGTGATTTATCAGAGGCGCTGAGGGTTTGGAAAGTCCCCAGAAGTGAAACCAGTGCTGTGGTAAAACCACAGACGAGAAGTACATACAGCAAATGAGTAAATATAAACCGACTCCAAGCCTGGCGCTAGCCAATAACAATTCAGCATCCTGGAGAGTCACCTGTTTCTAGGTGAACTTGTTGGGACGTTCTCTGTTTTTCGGTACGGTATGGTAATGTTGTGACACCCTCTAGTATCACAGTAATGAATTACTTTATACAATAATCTAAGAGTTGGGGGAAAGGTATTGGGAAGGTGAAATGGGGGAAAACAGGAATGAGAAAATGTAGTCAGTATTAACATCAGTGTCAGAGAGGAAGTCATTTAGATGCTCACCTCTCCCTCACTTTTTATAATCCGTATCTAGTGAATAACAGTTACTGTGCCAGAGATATAGGGGGATGCCAAACTCTCAAGTAATGGGTTAGGTGTAAAACCGAGCCTCAGTATGTTCAGATCAACAAGGTCTTTAAGCCGCGTTGTATCCTGGTTTCACGGCTCCAACAAGACAGTGTGGCACAGTGGCTTGGTGGTTAGCACTGCTACTTCATAGTGCAAGGGATCTGGGTTCAATTCCAGCTTTGGGTGACTGTGTGGAGTATGCATGTTCTCCCTGTGTCTGTGTGGATTTCTGATGGATGCTCTGGTTTCCTCCTTTGGTCTGAGGATGTGCAGGTTAAGTGGATTAGCCATGCTAAATTGTTGTGCAGTGTTCAGGTTAGGTGGATTAGCTAAGTTGGGTGTCAGGGAAAATGTGAGGCCTGGGTCTAGTTGGGATGCTTTTCAGAAGGTTGGTGCAGACTTGATGGACTAAATGGCCTCTTTCTGATTGCAGCGATTCTATGAAGACTATCTTGTCAATACAAGCTTCCAGCTAGTTATTAAGTAACTCCCATATTCTGACCTCATTGGCCTTCACCATTCCAGCTGTATATGAAATAATCCCAGGATCTAGGTATCAACGCTGTTCATCATTCCAGTTGTTTATTAAATAACCCACATTGCAGTAGAAAAACACAGCATTTGGAAAGTTCTCCTGTACACATTTAGGAATCCTTCACCTCTTTTTCCTCTCAGACTGTCAGTAGTCTTTGGATGTCTTCACCTCAGAAGGTAGCGCAGCCTGGGTCATTGAATACATTTAAAGAAGATTTTGAAAGATTTTTTGATCTACAGGGCGTCAAGGGTTATTATAGGCAGACAGGAGAGTGAAGTTAAGATTACATTCAAATCTGCCATGATTTTATTGAATGGCTGAGCAGACTTGAGTGGTCAAATGGCATTTTGTTATATTCTTATTCTGTCTTTGTTCCTGCACTGATTGGTACTTAGTACTCCTCTGGTATCTTATCCCTACACCCTTCTTTATGACTGACAAGACACCAATTCATAGCCCCTGAGCTTCAGGAGGCTCCATACGAATGTCAAGGTGGGGCAATGGAAGGTGTAAGGTGGATGATATTTAATACGTGCAGCTAAAATCTTAAACCTCAAAGAAGGTGAGAAGTTGAAGCTTTCAGTTTAGCATTCGCTGGAAGTAGGACACAAAGCACAAACTTTGAGAAAAAGAAGACCCAATCTTATACAGAATGAGAACACAGTACTGATCAGTTGGAATATCACTGCCGTTAACAATACAGCAAGAACAGTGAACTGTCAATCTTTATTCTCAGGCCAGGCAGGTGGACTCTGATTGGACAGGGAGTTGCCAGAGGGATGCAGCACAGTTTGGTTGTCTCCATGAACAGTTTTCTCAAAAATCCTGGAACTGGATTTTCATCTTCAAGGCAGGAATTGAGAATTGGCACATTTCCCAGCATCATGATCCTGTCTCCATCTTGACAGTGGATTTTCAACAGACAGACTTGTGGCAGGAATGGAGTTGGCCTTGCTGCTACCTAATCCAGCACAGGGGGGCCAGAAACAACAGCAGCCAAGTGGGGTGGGGTGGGGTGCGGCGGCAAGATTTGAAATCTAAGGTGGGTGAAACAGGGCTGATAAAGGTCTGCCTAAGTATCATCTTCACGTTACAAGAAATCCAAGATCTCCACTGAAGGAAACATTATGGTGGGAATTCTGTATTGTAAGTAGTTATTGTCACTGTTGATCTCATTGCCGGCTAACTCTTTGCTGTCCCTCTGAAATCAGGCCGAGTGTGAACCTCAATAATATCACAATCACCCCACATTCCCAAGACTTCTTGCTTTGCTGCCTAAGAAAACTGAGCACTGAGGGACTGCTGGCCCAGCCTGTCTCTGCACTCACCTGCAAACAGGCTGTTTTCTGCAGCAAGTCACAGAAGTGCTACGCAGTGGACTCAAAAGGCCAGCCTGGATCCCTCTTCATATCCCCAGGCCTAGCAGCGTCACGTTGCTTCAGTCCACCCTGAACATCGGAGTCCTCTGTCCTGCCCTTCTCCCTCATCCTGCTCTTCTTCAGCCTGCATGCACACAAGGTCTCCTTCGTTGACTGCCTCGTCCAGCAGAGTACTCCTCTGCTGTGCTATGTTGAGTAGCAATGCAGCACATGACAACCAATCCAGATACCCGGTAAAATGAATATTGCGGCGATTTACCAGAGCAATCAAGGCATCAAAATCTCCTTTTGAGTAGGTCCCTTGCATGTAGTCTGTTCAACGAGTGTTCTAGTGTCTTAGTTACTCTTGCTGTAGTGACCTGGGGCTTGGGATCCTCACAGGAATGTTAGGAGCAACTGCTTAGTGGGTAGTCCTTGTCACACAGAGCAACCATGCACCAGAGGAGTCAGGTGAAAGTGCAGCATCAGCCTGGACTCTGTGTAAGGCAGCTGCATGAAAACTCTCAATGGTCACACTCCAGCTGGGCACTGATGGTAGACCTTCCTGTTAATGAACATGTTGGCTCTGTCCTTCCTGAGTTCAGTCTATGATGCCCTGGCTCCCATGGGAAGTCAGCTATTGATGCAAAATCCATTGCCCTGTGCAGTTGTGAGGTTGTATTTTTTGAAAGGGTGATAAAGTCAGAGACACTTGTGAAGAGGACATCGTGATGGCATGGATGTGATGATGACTGAGACATCCCACAGAGCTCAGCAACAGAACCCTGGAACAAACCTGAGTTGAAGACTTTGTGGGTCACGGTATCCGTCAATGCTTACTGGAAAAGCCTATCGCTAGATGTTTCTTAGTGCTAATTCATCACTAAGAAGGCTCAGACATTGGTTACTACCCTCAGACGTCTCCAGGGGAAGCAGCCTGTTTTGGTGGGTCAGGTGCTCAGAATACTCCTGGACCCTGGACCTTGGGGTTAGTCTTCCTGCTACTTCAGGACCTTCTGGTACTGCATGACACTCCCGTGACGCTGCCTTGATTCCCTGCCTGTGCAAGGGGGCGGCATCCTTGTCCAGTGGTTCAATATCTGTGATTTGCAAGCCAGGTGCCCCTTGAGTTCTCATGAGGTTCACCCCTGCCTCTTCTCCCTTCCCCATATACAACTCCCATGCCTTCCCAGCTCACTTTACAGCAAAGGTTTGCTCATGCACTTGAAGACTTTGTGGGTCACGGTATCCGTCAATGCTTACCGGAAGTGCCTATCACATTTCACATGTGGAGGAAGAATCAGCATTCCCCAGTCAAAGCTGTAGCAAAACACAGTACATTGAGATGGTGCCAAAGTTTGAGTCATTCTGTCACTCTTAGAGTTCACTGAAACACAGAAATGGTCTTCAGATATTGCACAAAATAAGCAATGTACGATAATGCATGAAACACACTAAATCAATCTGATACACATTCACTACCTATACTGTTCCTGCCCGGAGTATTTAACCAGACAGCGTACAGAGGGATCTGATCGTTGTATATGTTCAGAAGGTGAGGGGACACCAACAGTATACAGTTTCAAACCCACCAGAATCTGTTATCAGGATGAAGGAGTGAACAAGACCCGAGTCCTCACTCTTGTCTCGAGGCTTGGGCTAATTTGAGAAGATTGAGTAAAGCCGATGACAGAGGCACTGACTAAATGCAGTACAATCCTGAACTGTGAACTGTAACTTTCAAACATTGTCAGATTGTGACTGATTTCAGTGACTGACTCTCTACCCCCTTGTCTTAACTTTATTTCCTCTGCATCCACAAAAGATGGGAAAGGAGGAGGCAACAAAAAAAACGGCAGATATGAGTTTAGATTCCAACTTACCATTGGATTGAACTTTCTGAGGGAGGGTCAAATTAAATAATATGAACCCTATTTTTCTCTGCAGAGACACTTCGGTTAAATCAAATTAAATGAATGTGAGGGTTTCAGCTGGGAATATGGAATAGAAGTGGAGGAGAGCAGGAGTCACTGGGGATAGTGTAAAACAGAAACTGTTTAGTTTAATAAACAGATATGACATCACTTCGAAAAATATCTATTCGAAAAAATATCTTCATATCACCGCAGGGATAGTAAGAACTGCAGATACTGGAATCAGAGATAACAAGGTGTGGAGCTGGAGGAACACAGCAGGCCAAGCAAAATCAGAGGAACAGATTTTCTGAAGAAGGGTCCTGACCTGAAATGTCAACCTTCCTGCTCCGCTGATGCTACCTGGCCTGCTGTGTTCCTCCAGCTCCACACTGTGTTATCCCATCTTCATCTCACTGAAATTCTTTCTCAAATAAACCACTCAAGGCTCATTAAGAGAAATACAGCACAGGTTTGAATTTCACCTGGAAACAGCTGATGGAGGAGAGGTCAAATGGTGATTGGTTTCTTAATGTTACAACATATGTCAATTACCAAGTAATACTCACTACAGTCAGATAGAAACTGAACTTGAGAGAGACACACACAGGCACTGACAGCAGACTAAGAGCTCCATAGTGGGTGAAATCCAGTTACATCTGCAAGAAGAATGGAAGTTGAGTGTTACATTACTGTATTAATGCTGGTTTTAATTCAAGGAACCTTGGCTGTGAAATGTGAGTTATGAAACTGCAAAATGTAATGATATATAGATTTTAATATCTGACACTACTGGGTGGGCTCAGTTACAATATCATTAATTATATACTAACTGGGTATTTAATTAAATTCAAGTATTGTGTATTAACTGGAGGTAAAATGATTTTTTGCTTTAGTGCGGTAATAGTGTCTCTTTCAAATGATGCATTTAATTGGTTATGAGTTCCAAAAGAAGTATGAGAAGCACAATAAGGGAAAAGTATGCTTCTGTAAATAAAAGCTTGTAACCGTAAAAAATATTTAGCTCCATTTCTATCCTTTACTGCCTGGATATTTGTGTTGTAGGGCTTGGTTACTTCACTTAGATAAATGGTGAGCTTGTGGTTCACAATAATGATGTTACACTGGTTTGATTTGTGTTTTAGATGATGTAGATCAAAGACTTATCTCTTCACCTTTCCCCTGAGTAGCAAGTAATCACAAACCACCACTGACAAAAACAGCCAACAAAATAGCTTCAGATGGAGCATTAATAGATAGTGAGCTAAGGACATAACTTTGGGAAGAGCATGAGTTATATAGGATCTGAACCATATCACTCACAGTGTGTAATTTAGACTGTTCTACATTTACTTGCATTTATTTAGTGCCTTTTATATGATATTTCACTAAAATACAATCAGAGAAAACTTGTGCCCAGGAAGGAATTACTATAAGGGATGACTCAATTGATGAAAGAATTGATTTTAAAGGAGCTTTCCACTAATGGTGTAGTGTAAGAAGCCACAGTTGGAGACTGTGTGTGGTCAGGGATGGGGAATGGAGCCAGTAGTCAGAGAATTATATTTGCATCACAGACTGAAAATAATGGCTTTGATTTTCCTAATATTTAGTGGAAGAAAATTTCTGCTTTTCTAATTCTGGATGTTAGACAAGCAACATGACAAATCAGAGATCTTGGTGAGCTGGCAAAGAGGTGTTGGTAAGATTGAGCAGAGTGTTGTCAGTTGACACGTGGAAAGTTAATGTGGTATTTTTGGATGATGTTGACGAGGAGCAGCACACAAATAAGAGGGATAAATCACAGAACAGGATATCATATACTGCACAGAATCCATCATTCAGCCAAATGAGTCATGCTGTACTTGAGTTCGTTCCATCCTTCCTCGTCTACTTCTATCCCCTTCTCTCTCATATACTTAACTAGCTTACCCTTAAATACATCTACACTACCCACCTCAGCAACCGCAGAAGTAACAGTTAGGGAGACTGTAAGACACTTAGATATAGAAGCAGATTAGGCCATTCAACCCCTTGAGTCTGTTCCATCATTCAATGAGATCATGGCTGATTTGATAATCCTCAACTCCACGTTCATACCTTTTCCCCATAACCCTTAATTCCTATGCTGATTAAAAATCTGTCTATCTCAGCCTTGAATACACTGAATGCCTCAGCAGCCCTCTGAGTAAGGAATTCCACAATTCACGACCATCAGTCAGTGTCGTTCCTTATTCTGATTCATCTAATTCTAAAAGATGCATTTTGGAATATAAAGTCCTTTGAAGGAAAGGGATAGAAAGTTATGAGACAAGTGAATCAGATTCAGGGGGACATTGGTGTTGGGTGGCCTAGACACAGCTCCTAAAACTCTTTAACATCACTCCAGCCATTAGCTCTGATGTCAGTTGACAAGATACTTGGCATAGGAGAGATTGAATTTGTTTGTTATTTTGTTGCCATTAAGTTAAATTTGAGTCACAAATGTTTCACACAGACCAGCAAACGATCCTGTACCTAGTTGCTGCGTAAGTGTATATTTCATATGCCAGATCTGTTAGAGACAATAGGATTGATTAGCAAACAGGAATTGCATTTGAAATTTGACTGGCCTTCATTTATTGACTGCAATATTTGACCCAGCTGACCTGGACATCTTATAAACATGACCAACACACAGTGCAAGGATGGGTAATGATAGTTTTGATTGACAGTGCTTTGAGCCAATCCTGAAGCAGATAGCCAGGTCCTGTTCCATTGAGGAAAAAAAAAGTGATGGAAGTAATTGTCTTGGAATTAATGATAAAAATTTCTTTTGAGGTTAGAGCCAGTCACGTCAACAAATATTGACTTATAACGCCAAACTACGTCAAAGATGCAATACTGAGCAATGGTTTAATTCTCACTGAAAACTTAATTGAGTTCAGTCAATCAGTCTTTGTAAAGCAGCACTTATAAAATAATCCATTTTGATGGTTTTACCATTGACAGTGAGCTGATACCCAAATTCAACCTAATTCTTCTAATTCTATTTCCATAAAAGTACCAATCAATGCTCAACCTCCCCCTCAATGCCACTAACACAGGCATTCATAATCTGCAAACTTGATTATTCTAAAATCCACTCTGCATTTCATCCAAAACTGTGCTGCTTGTATGCTACCCTCTATTAACCCACACTCTCCTTGCATGCCCTTCCCATCAATTTTCACCGGATTCCTGTCCCCCAGTGCATTGATTTCAATATTCTTAGCCAAGAGGGATCAGTGCTTGGACTCCACCTATTCACAATATGTACTAATGATTTAGATGACGGGATTAAATCTATTATTTCCAGGTTTGCAAATGATACAAAGCTGAGGAGGATGCAGAGATGCTTCAGTGTGATTGGGACAAGTTGCATGAGATGGCAAATGCAGAATAATGGGGATAAATGAGAGGTTATCCACTTTGGTGTCACATACAGGAAGACAGATTATTATCTGAATGGTGATAGACTGGGAAAGGGGGAGGTGCAATGAGACCTAGATGTTCTTCCACACCAGTCGCTGAAAGTAAGCGTGCAGGTGCCGCAGGTGGTGAAGAAGGCAAATGATGTATTGACCTTCATAGCAAGACGATTCGAGTACAGGAGCAGGGATGTCTTGCTGCAATTGTACAAGGCGTGAGACCACGCCTGGAATGTTATGTACAGTTTTGGTCTCCTTATCTGAGGAAGGATGTTCTGGCTATGGAGGGAGTACACAAAGGTTTGTCGAATATATTCCTAGGATGGCAGGACCGAGGAGAGACTAGATTGGTTAGGAATATATCATTGGGGTTTAGAAGAATGGGAGGGTGGGGGGAATCTCATAGAAATCGATAAAATACTAACAGAACTAGACAGGTAGGATGTTCCAGATGACTAGGGAGTCCAGAACCAAGAATCGCGGTCTAAGATTATGGAATAAGATATTTAGGACTGAGATAAGGAGAAATTCTTATTTCTCTGGGATGGCACAATGGCTCAGTGGTTAGCACTGTTACCTCACAGCGCCGGGAACCCTGGTTCAATTCCATACTTGGGCAACTGTCTGTGTGGAGTTTGTACATTCTCCCCTTGTCCTCATGTTTCCTCTGGGTGCTCCGGTTTCCTCCCACAGTCCAAAGACGTGAAGTTTTGGTGGATTGGCCATGCTAAATTGTCCATAGTGTCCCAAATGTGTAGGTTAGGTGGATTGCCATGGGAAATGCAGGGTTTACAGGGATAGGGTAGGGGGATGGGCCTGGGTGGGATGCTCTTCAGAGGGTCAGACTTGATTGGCCAAAAGGCCTGCTTCCACACTGTAGGGACTCTGTGAGCCTGTGGAATTCTCTGCCACAGAAAGCAGCTGAGGCCAAAACACTGGATGTTTTTAAAGAGTTATAGCTAGCTTGTAGGATTATAGTATCAAATGGTATGGAGAGAAAGTGTGAACAAAATACTGAGATGGATGATCAGCCATGATTGCATTGAATGGTGGAGCAGGTTCAAATGGCTGAATGGCCTATTGTTGATCATATTTTCTATGTTTCCATGGAAAGTCAGGAGGTGAATTACTTGCCACAAAATTGTCAGCCTCTGACCTGCTTTCATAGCCAAAGTATTTATGTGGCTAGACCGTTCAGTTTCTGGTCAATAGATGTTGAATGTGGGGATTCAGTGATGGTAATACCATTGAACTCGTTCAGTGAGATATTTATATATCCAGCACCATTCAGAATGGTTGAGACAGGATTTCAGATCTTACATTGGTTCATCTTTTGTGGGATATTGCTTAGTTTTGCCTGTCTTCCATTAAAGGTATATCATGGTAGGTTATAAATATATTCTTAAATGTGTCCATCTTGGCTAATCATAGAGTCACACAGCACGGAAACCAAACCTTCGGTCCAACTCGTCCATGCCGACCATAAAGCCAAACTAAACTAGGCCCACCTGACTGCGCTTGGCCAGTATCCCTGAAAACATTTCTTATTCATGTACTTATCTAAATGTCTCTTAAATGCTGTAACTGTACCTACATCCACCACTTCCTCTGAAGGTTCATTCCACAGGCGAACAACTCTGTAAAACAAAAATTGCCCCTCATGTCATGTCATGTCTTTTTTAAATTTTTATCCTCTGACCTTAAAAATATGCCCACTAGGCTTGAAATCCTCCAACCTAGGGAAAAGATACCTGCCATTCACCTTATCGATAACCCTCATGATTTTATAAACCTCTGTAAGGTCACCTCTCAACCTCCTACGCTCCGATGAAGAGAAGTCCCAGCCCATCCAGCCTCTCCTTGTAACTCAAACCCTCCATTCCTGGCAACATCCTCCATTTCATCTTAATAACATCTTTCCTACAACAGGGTGACCAGAACTGGACACAGTACTCCAGAAGACACCTCCTCATAGTCCTGTACAACCTCAACATGACTCTCCAACTCCTATACTCAAAGCACTGAGCAATGAAGGCAAGCATGCTAAATGCCTTTTTAACCACCCTGTCAAGATGTGACACAAAGTTCAAAGAATTCTGTACCTGAACCCTGAGGTCTCTCTGTTCACATTTATCCAAATTAAACTTCATATTCCACACTTTGGTCCATTGACTCAATTGATCAAGATTTCTTTGTAATTGTAGATAATTTTCTTCACTGTCCACAATACCACCAATCTTAGTATTATCTGCAAACTTACTAACCATGCTTTCTATATTCTCATCTAAATCATTTATATAAATGACAAACAAAACTGGACATAGTACTGATCTCTGTGGAACGCCACTGGGTACAGGCCTCCAGTCTGGAAAAACAACCGTCCACTCTGTTAAACAAAGGCCAAGCCCCTGCCCCGCCCACACAACCCCACCACCGCGCCCCCCCCACCCCCAACCCCAACACATCCTGACACCCATCAGACACTCCTGGGACAGTACCGAGTTAAGCCCAAAGCAAAGCTCACTCTACCCGTTTAAAACAGAGAAGTAAACGTTTCTCTGAGTTTTGAACCAGAATGAAACTCCAGTGACTCAAAAAATGTTTTTTTCTTAACTCTGTCCCCACCAACCACTCTTGGGATAAGGACAACATATGGAATAAATATTTCTTGATAAAATAACAGCCTCCATGGCTCTTTCAGAGAGTCAAAAATGTAAACAAAAGGGAAAATAAGACAGCCCCCTTCTTGGGGCACCAACCAAAAAAAAACGCAACTCAAAAAGCAAAACAGAAACTTATACTACGGAAACAAAATGATTTACTAAATCAAAATGTTATTGTTCAGTTTTATGATGCTCTCCAGCCCCTATGGCTCGTATCAGTCACGAAAGGCCTCCACTGTACCATTTAGCACCATGTGCTCCTGCTCCAGGGACACCAGAGTGCGGGCATAACCACAAAAGAGGGGCAGTCAGTCAGAAACAACAAGACTCTCCTCAGCCCAATGTCTGGACCTGTTAATGGCCATCTTGGCCAGGCCCAGGAGCAAAGCCACAAGAAGGTCCATAGACTTGTCCACCCCTGACTGTACCAGGTTCCCACAGATTAAGGGCATGGGGTTGAAGTGCAACCAAAATTTCAACAGCAGCCCCCTCAAAAAACCAAAAAGGGACTGCAGATAAACACATTCAACATAAATGTGAAACACCATCTCCTCCAGGCCACAGGACATTCATGTGATCTGGCAACCAGTAAACTTGCTCAATTGTCAGTTGCACAGGACTGCTGTGTGCAACACTCTCCACTCCAGATCTCCAATGTAAGAGGGGTATACTATTTTGTAGAGGGCCTTCCACTGGGGATCTCTGCTACCAGAGGGCAAAATGTTGTGCCAAAGCATGTCCAGGTGATGGGTGAAGGCAAGGCAGTGGATAGCATGCAGTATTAACCGATACAAATAACACCTCCATGCCATATGAAAGGGCATCAGGAGATTATCCCCGAGATGGCTCAGATTGTGGAGCAGCATGCAATCTGAGTGGGAGAGTCTGCTGCACAGGTCAATGTGGGGTTCTGCCATCCAGCGTGTCCCTGACTCTGGTCAGCCCTGCATCCCCAGCTCTCCCCTCCCTTGGCTGGTGCAAACTACACTCAAGGACAAATGTGTTCCAGAGCAGCGGCTCCCTGGCAAGAGCTGCCACTCCCTTAGGGGAAGAGCTCCAGCGTGAGCCGACCATGTCCCAGACGGTGATCATGTCCAGTTGGAAAGCAGGCAATTCGTGAAAGATGACCCGAGGCTGGGACCACACCACAAACAGGAACTGTGCGTCGTAATGGAGGCCATGCACCTGACAGAAGAAATAGTCACCAGGGCACACCACTTTGGAGGAGGATCGATGTAAAGGTATCGCTGCAGGGTCTGAAGGTAGAAGGTCGCTACTTGGGTGCGAAGGCACACCAGCGCCTGATCACCCTCCTCAAGCAGGGGACTCAGGACCGCAGCATTGACCCAGTGTTCCCTCTTGTCCCAGAAAAGCCCAACAAGCCTTTTCTGGATGGCAGTGACAAAGTCAGGGACAGGACCAAAGTGACTAGCCGGTACCACAACGTGGCAGCCACCAGCTGGTTGATGACCAGCACTCCAGCCCTGTAGGACAATACTCGGATCAGTCCAGTCCAGCATGCTAAGCAAGTGGTCACCTTGGTCTCCAACTCATGCCAAGTCACTGGCCAGGTTTCCTCAGCAGGGCTAAGATGGGCTCCTAGGTAGAGGAGGTGCGTGGTACTCCACTGAGCTCCACCAGAAGGGGGTCCATCTGCCATGGGCCAAACAGAAGTCCCAAAAGCTTGCCTCAGTTGATCCTTGTAGACCTGCTGGCACTCGCACATCCTCTGCAGGTCAACTGGGTCCGTGAACATGAGGAGCATGTCCGCGTATGCTGAAAGAAATGCCTCCAGTCCCGGCCCGCGCAGAGCCAAATCCAACAGTTGTTTACTCAAGAGACGCAGGAATGGCTCCACGCAGACAGAGTAAAGCTACCTCCACACTCCCACCAAATATTATAAAAATGATATAAATATTTCCGCTAGCAGCCCCTCAATTTCCTCCTTAACTTCCCACAACATCCTGGGATACACTAGATCATGTCCCAGAGATTTATATTTTCTAATACCTCCAGCACTTCCTCTTCCATAATGTGAACTGCTTTCAAAATGTCAGTATTTATTTCTGAGTTCTCTAGTCTCCATTTCTTTCTCCACAATAAAAACTGACGCAAAATATTCATTTAATACCTCTCCTATCTCCTGCAGTTCAACACAAAGTCAACCTCTTTGAAATTTAAGGGGCCCTACTCTCTCTCTTTAGTTGCTCTCTTGCTCTTAATGTACTTGTAGAATCTTTCTGGATTATCGTTAACCTTATTTGCCAAGGCTATCTCATCCTTTCTTTGCCTTCCTGATCTCCCTCTTCAGCATGCCCCTACACTTTTTATACTGTTCGAGATTCATTTGAATATAATCATTTATACCTTTTTATTTTTTGATAAATTGACAGACTTGTTGGTAAACTAATATTCAACTAAATAGAATATTTAAAGGAGTAGTACTCACACTGATGTTTGCTCTAAACTGCATTAGGGCACAGAAAGGCCCAAGCCCTTCTGATGGACTTGGCCGTGTTAGTCCCTTCAAATGCACACCCCTGCAGCACTCAGATCTTCAGGAGGTGGGTCACTGGAGCCGAAACGTTAACTCTGTTTCTCTCTATCTTCACAGAAGCTGCCATTCCTGCTGGGTTTCTCCAGCTATTTCTGTTTTTGTTTCAGTATTTGAGTGTTGTACCTGTCTGAGGTGGGAGGGGATAATGTTCACCCCGTGAGCCAGAGTAGCTGTGAGAATGAGCACATTCACAGAGATCCTGATACAGGTGGAGTTAAAACACATCCCAGATCAGTCTTGATGTTTCCAGAACTTCCCTCCCTGGTGTCTTAACTGGGTTTGATATCTGCTTATTGCTGTTTTTATCAAATGATGTTTTGTCCCTGGGTCACTGTCTCAGTGTGGGGCCTGTCTAATCCTCTCCCTCTCTCTCTCACACACACACAGATCTACACGAAAACACCCTTGTCTATTTTGTTCAGGAGCGCAGTCCCAATAAACACTTTGATCTGTTGGTGGACGGAGATGAGGTTTTCTACATGGACTTCAACCTGAAGAAGGAGGTGGCCCGGATCCCCGAGTTTGACGGTCATTACATAGAGGGAGGAGAGGCGGGGATCTCAGCCAATATCGCCAACCTGAAACTCAGTTTTAATGTTTGGAAGAACCTGTCCCATGGGACCCCGGAACCGAAAGGTACGTAACTGCTTCAGTATCCCCAACATAAATGAAAACATGGAGCTGGAGTCTGGAGTGGAGTGGGATCTGGTCAGAGTAAACTGTGGAGTTATAATCCGGACTGGATCAGGGTCTGGTCAGAGTAAACGTGGAAAAAGTCGGGTCTGGAGGTCAGACAGCCCACTGAGGATAGCTTGCCATAAATTGTTCCTCATTATTCCCACAGTCATACCAAATGTTGAAGTATTTTTCAAGAATGCACAGTCCCCAAATTTACTTTAGTTTCAGACCAAGATTGATAGAAAACACAAATCAATTTTTTTTAACTAAATGTGAATTATTATTTCATACTTGTAATGAGTCTCTGGCTGCAGGTAAACAGTTATCTCTCTGTTTCTGCTTCTCTCTCCCTCCAACTTGATTCCAGATTCAAGCTGCCCAGCCACCTGAGAACAACTCATACATTTGCTGACAAGTCCATAGACCAATTAACTTCTTGTTGCCAAAAAGAATTGCATCACTACATATCCTCAGATCCAAATCATCTGCAATCTGAACTTCAATTAGTTTAAACAGTTCTTCACAATGCCTGTCATAGGTATCAGGTTAATGTGTTGCAAGATGGTAGTGGAGTAGGACACTCCAGCTGGAGCTCATTGGTCCATTGGCTTTTCTTCTTTTCCTTCTCTTTCTCTTCCTCCTAGTGCTTTCTTTTTTTTCTTTCTTTTTCCCCTTCGGCTCCTGGCCTCCAGCAAGCAATGATTCCTGGCTTCCGGCGATGACTCCCTACCTGGAGCAGCAGCTCCCCACAGGGGCCTCCCGGTATGGTGTGACAACCTTCCGGCCTCCCATAGCAGCATCCCAGCATGGCGTGTCGCTGGCACAGTGTGAAGCGAGGGCCCGGTGCAGACTGGAGGCTAGGTGCCAGCTTGGTCAGCTGTACTGAATTTTTATTTCTGTCATGCTGGATGTTTAATTTCTGCATTGTCTAAAATCTTGTAACTAAAGGAGCTGTGCCTAGGTACTTTTGTATCTAAGTTGGCAATATAATTGGCAACGTATAAACTTTTCACTATACTCATTGAATATATGTGACTATAAAGGCTGTTGTATTCTACTTTTAAAACAACAGCCACTTTTTCCAAATCTTGGTTTATAAGACAGTCTTTTCTCATTCCAGAGATAGTATTTTAAATAAAACAGATGTTCACCTACACATCTGCTAATGTGGTATACTGCATCTGCTATACCCGTTGTGGCCTCCTCTACATCAGGGAAACCAAGCGTAGGCTTGGGGACCGCTTTGCGGAACACCTACGCTCGGTTCGCACTAAACAACTGCACCTCCCAGTCGTGAACCATTTCAACTCCCCCTCCCATTCCGCAGACAACATGTCCATCCTGGGCCTCCTGCAGTGCCACAACGATGCCACCCGAAGGTTGCAGGAACAGCACCTCATATTCCGCTTGGGAACCCTGCAGCCCAATAGTCTCAATGTGGACTTCACAAGCTTCAAAATCTCCCCTCCCCCGACCGCATCCCAAAACCAGCCCAGATTGTCCCCGCCTCCCTAACCTGTCCGTCCTTTCTCCCACCTATCCCCTCCTCCCACCTCAACCCCCACCCCCATCTCCTACCTACCAGCCTCATCCCCGCCTCCTTGACCTGTCTGTCCTCCCTGGACTGACCAACCCCCAACCTAACTCCCCACCAACACTCACCTTTACTTGCTCTATCCCCGCCTCCCTGACCTGTCTGTCTCCTCTCCACCTATCTGCTCCTTAATCCATCTTCCATCCGCCTCCACCTCTCTCCCTATTTATTTCAGAATCCCCTCCCCCACCCCCATTTCTGAAGAAGGGTCCAGACCTGAAACATCAGCTTTCCTGCTCCTCTGATGCTGCTTGGCCTGCTGTGTTCATCCAGCTCCACACCTTGTTATCTCTTTTCTCATTCCAGTTTGTTACAGCACAAAAAAATTAAAAATACATAGTCCTTACAGACTAAACCATGGGGCTGCAATCTGGAATGGATTAGGGTCTAGTGGTCAGAATAAACCAGTATCTTGAATGGAGCCAGTATCTCGAATGGAGTTAGTGTCTGGTCAGAGTAAACCATTCAGCCTGGGTTTGTAGTAGAGGGCAGTCTGAGTAATGTATGTGGCTTAGACATGGAGGGGAGTGAGATCTCATGCACAGAACAATTCATGGGGCCTGGGTCTAAAGCTGACGAATGTTTGGTGGTCAATGTAAATCCTGGAGCTGTGGTCTGGAGAGAATGGGGTCTGGTGGTCAGAATAAACCATGGGACTTACCTTGACCTTTTCTAAGTGCCCTGTTATACCGTGTTTTATTATAGCTCTGAACATTTGCTTCAATCAGATGTTAAGTTAATAAGCCTGCAGTTTCCTGATTTCTGTCTTCATCTTTTTTTTGAATAAAGGAGTTACAATTGCTGTCATCAAATCCAGGGGAACTTTCTCTGAATCTATAGAATTTTGGAATATTAAAAATGTTGCATCAACTACACCACTAGCCATATCTTTTAAGACCAAGGACGAGATCCATCAGGACCCAGGCACTTGTCAGCCCTAGCTTCAACAATGTGCTCAGTTCCACTTCCATGGTGAATGTGATTTTTCTGAGCTCCTCTCTCCTTCTATTTCCTGACTTGTAGCAATTTCTGTGATTTTATTCATATCCTCTACATTAGACTAGTGTATAATTCCACATTGTGCAAAGAACAGGTCTCCAGCTCAATTTTCTGAAGAAGGGTCCAGACCCAAAACGTCAGCCTTCCTGCTCGGCCTGCTGTGTTCATCCAGCTCTACACCGTGTTATCTCAGATTCTCCAGCATCAGCAGTTCGTACTATTTCCAGCTCAGAAGATACTTTACAACTTTTTATGTTTGTGTTCAAAAGCAACAGTGCCAAGCCTATACCTTGCTTCTGCTTCAATAAGAACGTAGCCTGTGTACAGATATCTGTTTCATTTTCCACTGGGCAGAAGGTTCAGATTCAGGGCACATCAGTGGGAAACCATACCTTGACATTTTATACTTGGCTTCAGTCATTCTTTTGAAAAGTAACACACATCACAACCTCTGTCCAAAATTAAAAATACTGGTTTCTCATTGCAGCATGAGAGATCTCTACCTCTTCCTTGATAATCCACTCAGTGCATAGGGCCTGGAGCCTGCTGTGCTCAATAGGAAAAGGGAGGACCCCTGCATAGAGAGACTCCAATGGGGATCCCTGCTGCCCAGAGCAAATAAACCTGCCAAGGCATGTCCAGGCAGCAGACATAAGACTCAAGGTAGATGGTCTGCAGCAGCAGCCTGTACAAAGACACACTACACAGACCTAAGAGTTGGCTTAGGGTGTAGGGCACATGTTCCTGAGGGAAGTTCAGGACACTGGAGCTGAAGACTCCCAGATAAAGGAGATGGGTGGTACTCTAGCTGAACTCCCGTAACTCCTCCAGCAAGGAATCTAATCATCACAGATCGACCAGGAGTCTGTGACATTTCGCCCAGTAGATCCTGGTGAAGATGCCGCCATGTACACTGCCTGGCCCTCACGCATCCTCCCCAGGTCAGCCGGGTTGGTGAACATGAGGAGCATGTCATTGGTGCAGGCCAAAAGAACCGCTCTGGTGCCCAGCCCACCCAGACCCAGCCCAACAACCTTCTCCGCAAGAAGCACAGGAAAGGCTCCACACACAAGGAATACAGCTGGGCTGGACAAGGGGCAGCCCTGACGCACTCCTCTCCCAAAGCAAAGAAGCACCATCAGAGACCTGTTAATATTAATCAGACACTCTGCGGCAGTGTACAAAAGTTGGATCTGGGCAACGAACTGTGTCCCGAACCCAAATGCGCACAGAGTTCTGAGCAGATACGCATGATCAACCTGTCGAACACCTTCTCTTGGTGGAGGGACAGGAAGGCGCTTGATTGACCAGTCCATTGATAAAAATAGATCATTGCCTGGACCAGAGATAGTAGGAACTGCAGATGCTGGAGAATCTAACAAGGTGTAGAGCTGGATGAACACAGCAGGCCAAGCAGCATCAGAGGAGCAGGAAGGCTGACGTTTCGGGCCTAGACCCTTCTTCAGAAATGGGGGAGGGGAAGGGGGTTCTGAAATAAATAGGGAGAGAGGGGGAGGCAGATAGAAGATGGATAATGGAGAAGATAGGTGGAGAGGAGACAGACAGGTCAAAGAGGCGGGGTGGAGGCAGTAGAGGTGAGTGTAGATGGGGAGGTAGGGAGGAGATAGGTCAGTCCAGGGAGGACGGACAGGTCAAGGGGGCGGGATGAGGTTAGTAGGTAGGAGATGGGGGTGGGGCTTGAGATGCGAGGAGGGGATAGGTGGGAGGAAGAACAGGTTAGGGAGGCGGGGACAAGCTGGGCTGGTTTTGGGATGCGGTAGGGGGTGGGGAGATTTTGAAGCTTGTGAAATCCACATTGATACCATTGGACTGCAGGGTTCCCAAGCGAAATATGAGGTGCTGTTCCTGCGACCTTTGGGTGGCATCGTTGTGGCACTGCAGGAGGCCCAGGATGGACATGTCGTCCAAGGAGTGGGAGGTGGAGTTGAAGTGGTTCGCGACTGGGAGGTGCAGTCGTTTGTCGCGAACCAAGCGTAGGTGTTCCACAAAGCAGTCTCCAAGCCTCCAATTGCTTTCCCCGATGTAGAGGAGGCCTCATCCCGCCCCCTTGACCTGTCCATCCTCCCTGGATTGACCTATCTCCTCCCTACCTCCCCACCTACACTCACCTTTACTGGCTCCATCCCCGCCTCTTTGACCTGTCTGTCTCCTCTCCACCTATCTTCTCCTTTATCCATCTTCTATCTGCCTCCCCCTCTCTCCCTATTTATTTCAGAATCCCCTTCCCCTCCCCCATTTCTGAAGAAGGGTCTAGACCCGAAAGGTCAGCCTTCCTGCTCCTCTGATGCTGCTTGGCCTGCTGTGTTCATCCAGCTCTACACCTTGTTATCTCATTTCCTGGACG